TTCAGAGATATGCACGAGCTACTACTTTCATCCGTCAGGCTACTCCTATTACGAGACTTAACAAAATTCATCACTGAGAACAAAGATTCACAATTGTAAATGGGAGATTATAAGAGAGGGTTTCGCGTGCCAGCAAAAGTTACTGGCGTGCCATGTTTGGCACGTGTGCTAGGGGTTGCCCACCCCTGGCCTACATGTTTACTGTCTGGCCCTTTACAAATAAAGTTTGCTGATGCTGCTGTAGCATGCTAGGCAGCAGTCGGCCAAAGAGAAGTGGCTGTAGTGTATATAACTCGCCTCGTTTCGATCACTGCTGCCTCTCAGCTCCATACAGAGAAGAATGTAGCTTCATAGGGAGAAACCAGCTTAAGTCCAGGAGGTAGCGAGCCTGTCTCATTCCCTGTCCTCGTAGGAGACAGTGTGTGACCTGCCCACACAGGGCAGGCGCTCTAAACAATGTTGTCAGTGAATGCAGTTGATCCTCGAACAACATGGGTTTGAGCTGTGTAGGTCTACTTACATGCAGGATTTTTTTCAATAAATGCTGTAACTCTTCCTTATGTTTTAAAATATATATATTTTTTTTATTGATTTCAGAGAGGGAAGGAGAGGGGGAGAGAGAAACATCAACGATGAGAGAGAATCATTGATAGGCTGCCTCCTGCACACCCCACACTGGGGATTGAGCCCACAACCCGGGCATGTGCCCTGACGGGGAATCCGTCCGTGACACTCAACCACTGACCCACACTGGCCGGGCATGATTTTCTTAATAACATTGTCTTTTCTCTAGCTTACTGTATTGTAAGAATACAGTATATAATACACATAACAGACAGAGTATGTGTGATCGGTATGACTTCTGGTCAATAGTAGGCCATTAGTAGTTAAGGGTTTTGGGAGTCAAAAGTTAGACATGGGTGTTTGACTGTGGGGACGGGGGGATGGATGCCCCTAACTCAGGCATTCGGTTGTATAGCCCATTCAGAGATGAGAATCCGTGGACTGAATTATTAAATTTTTCAGATTCTTCACAGGAGAGTACGAGTACAATGAATTGTTTTACATTTTTAGCCAAATTAGAGGGCTTATGGTTCAGTAATATTGTATCAGCTGGTGAAATGTTTGTTTTAGCTTTGTGTGCCTCAGTTTCTTATGTGAATCCTAATTGCTGTGACCATTGCAGACAAAGAAGAGCATCATAAACTGGGGCTGGAGGTACTATTCGGTGTCTTAGATTTTGCTGGGTGCACTAAAAACATGACTGCTTGGCAATATTTGGCAAAATATCTCAGACAGATCTTAATGGGGTAAGTAAGAGACGCATGGTATTTATTACTGGGTCAGCACAAATAATAATATTTCCCAATATTAGAGCTGATAATGTGTCAATTTTTATTTTGGATTTCTTTTTTAAAAAAATATTTGTTATTGCTTTTAGAGAGAATGGAAGGGAGAGGAAGAGAGAAAAACATTGATAGGCTGCCTCCTGCACGCCCCCTACTTGGGATCGGGCCTGCAACCCAGGCATGTGCCCTGACCGGGAATGGAACCAGTGACTTCTCAGTGCATGGGTTGACACCCAACCACTGAGCCACACCTTTCTGCTGCTTTCTTCTGATTTTATAAAAAACAAGGACACAAAAGTCACAAGTATAACATACAAAAATTTCTCAAGATTTTTTTTACATTAGCAAAATAAGTACCACTGTTAGGTTAGGGAATATGTTGGTTTTCAAATTGGAAATCAGGACGAGGCGGGGTCACTCCCACTCCGTGCTGGACTCTTGTAAAGCTCTTTGTGATTTTCAAAGATTATTAACTTCTAAGATCACGTGGGAAGCAGCTTTCTTCCCAGCTGTTTCCAATAGTGTTCAGTGGGGTTTTAAGGCCTCATAAGATCATGGAAGGTTATTCATTCAGCAAATATTTCTTAAGCCCGTTGTGAGCTGGGAATCAAAAACGATGCCTTTGATCATAACATCATTAGTGTCACATTTTTACTTTGTGAGAAGAAGGGATATAAAAAAATGGTTTCAGCCCTCGCTGGTTTGGCTCAGTGGATAGAGTGCCAGTCTGTGGACTAAAGGGTCCCAGGTTTGATTCTGGACAAGGGCACATGCCCAGGTTGTGGGCTAGATTCTCCCAGTAGGGAGCATGCAGGAGGCAGCCAATCAATGATTCTCTCTCATCATTGATGTTTCTATTTCTCTTTCTCCCTTCCTCTCTGAAATCAATTATATATATATAT